ATGGCTGCCCCCTCATTTGTTTTATTGACTTTGAGAGGTTCCAATTGGGCTTTAAGGGCAGCAAAGGATACTGAAAAATACAAAACCCTAACCAGAAAAACTACTGGGACTTTTGAGGTATGATACCAACAGCCACTCATACAAGTATTATAAAAAATAGCTTTATTATACAATATTAAACATGATTGTAGTACCAAAAACTGAGCATAAACATGCTTTCTAAAAACATATACCATTACATATTGTAACCATAAGAAAATTGGGCTTGATGTAAGTAGTGCCAATGTTGCATGAATGGCTTCGTATGATCACTATCCTTAAAAGATCGTTTTTTGGCATGATCAGTAATATTTTCAATATCCATGCCAAAATTTCACGATTTCTGCACGGGTATGCAAACTTTAGAGCACAATTCTATCTCTAGAATCGTAAGCAGAGCCATAATGAACAGACAGAAAAAAACAACAAAACAAAGATACATTCTATAGTGATACATCTACTATATATCTCAGGGGACCTGTTTATTCAAATTTCACAATGCAGTAAAGGTTGCAGTGATTTAAAACCAGTCACCAATTTGGAAGCGGGACAAATTCAATAAATTTAAAAATACGCTCATCAGCCACCTGTTCAATCGCTGGTAATGCAAATTGCTAATCAGCCAATCGCATAACAACAACTCAATGCATTTAGGCATGTGGACGAGGTGAAGTTCAAACCGAGCATCGGAATGGGGAAGAAAGGGGATTTAAGTGATTTTTAACGTGGCATGGTTGTTGGTGCCAGATTTTCACATACAACCATCCCTAGGGTTTAAAGTGAATGCTCTGAAAAAGAGAAAATATCCAGTGAGTGGCAGTTATGTGGATGAAAATGCCTTGTTGAGATCAGAGGAAAATGGGCAGACTGGTTGCTGTGACATTCAGATGGAAGGGTCAGAATTTGGCGTAAACAACACGAAAGCATGGATCCACCCTGCCTTGTATCTGCGATTCAGGCTGGTGGCGGTGTGTAATGATGTTGGGGACATTTTCTTGGCACTTGCAAGGTGTACCTAATAAAGTGGTCAGTGAGTATGTATAGCGTATAGATAAAAAGAATATAAGCCCTATAAAAAAAAATAAATAAAAGAAAAATAAGAGAAGAAAAAGAGGAAAAAGAAATGAAGAAGAAACGATAAGCTTAAAGGTCCAATATTGTATAGATATTTGTGCTTGAGATATAGGGAGGGATGAAAAGGTCACTTTCTAAACTGAGCTACGTGGATAGATAAAATAATCACTCCATCAATAATATCTTAAAGGACCAAATAACTCCAAGCTACACCCCTACTCCCCACACTGGTCTGAAACAGTTCATATAAGGGCCCCTAAGTTATCTGTATATAATCAAAAGCCTGTAATAATCTCAGTATCTTGAGCATGTAGAATGATCCCACAAGAAACTTATCCAGGGGTCCAACATTATAAAATACATATATCTAAAGCAGCTAGAGCCATATAAACAAATTGATATTTAGCTCAAAGAGAATGAAACCTTTAAAATAAATTCATATAATTACCATCATAAATAATCCTCACGCACCTAAACCCAAATCTTCTGTGTTTTGTTTATATATTGGCAGCAAAGGATAATGTGCTTTATCGGTAAAGTTGCACTTTCATACCCATTCAACCCTTATAGGAGGATGAACACTAGGTCCCTGTACAGTATCCCCTGCATGAGGAAGTAAGAATTAGGAATTGCTCACAATCTATATTGTGAAGGTTATTAGAAACATCTATGCCATTGCTATGGTTTGAAAAATCTACTGCAACAGCTTTGGTATGTACACAAGAAAAAAATTTTTAATTTTTTTGGAGGCTCTTTTTAAATGCTCTCTTTAAATAATGAGACTAGGTTTCACCATTCCACATCATATGGGGTATTGCAGCTCAGATGGGTCCAAATAAATTGTGACATACAGAATGAAGCTGCAATCCCATGTATACTGCTTTTGGGAGGAGCCCAGTGGTGGAAAAGTGGCATTTTAATACTCATGGTTTTTTAGAGCCACCTGACGGCAGGAAACACCTTAACTGGTTTTAGGTCACTTTCCTATTCATGTTGTTTTGTGTTATCTCCATGATTGTCCTCCAGCCTCCATTGTTCATCATTGCAATGGCAGAACTTTGGTGACCTCTCTGTTTCTTATACACGCAGGTGTTGAGCCCTCGTAGTGATATTGGAGTTTACGGAAGCGGGCCGGGGTAAACGGAGGAGAGTAAAAGAACTCTTGGAGGAGAAGGAATTGGATTTAGACTCAATGAGTGAACTTGAGGAGCCTCTGGATGAGCACCGGGACACAGCCTCCGTAGTAAGGAAATATCAAAGTCAAACTTCCAGTTCTATACGTTTTATAGAGTTCTTTAAGGCTTATATATAAGATGTGGTATTGTGTAATAACCACAGTACGTCCAGGAATGGGGTATGTTTGTGGGTTCAAATAATAAGAGTACATTAACCACTTCTGTACCGGGCACCTTTAACCCTTCCTGCCCAAGTCAATTCTCAGCTTTCAGTGCTCAGTTTGAATGACAACTGCGGCAGTCACGCAACACTATACCCATACTAAATTTTTATCAAATTTTTGTTCACACAGCTAGAGCTTTCTTTTGGTGGTATTTAAATCACCACTGGGTTTTTTATTTCTTGTTAAATAAAGGAAAAAACAAGTTTTTCTTCGTTGCTGTTATAAAATTTTGCAAATAATTTTTTTTTTCCCCCTTTTACATACTGTCACCAGTGCAGTGCAGCATCATATTGTAACTGGTGTGGTGGTGATCAGGAACACCTGCAAAATTAAAAAAAAAAAAAAAAAAAGGAATGCTTTTCTGTGTTAGTTAATACTTACATTATTAGAGTGGTTCTAAAGCTCAAATGTTTCTTGCCTTAACCTGTTCCCTCCCAGCCAATAGGAAAATGACAGCCGAGCGTAACGCTAGTCAATCAGGCAGGCGTCATATGACAAGCTTCCTGGATCGCGCCTTGCACGTGCCCACAGTGCCGCACAGTGGTGAGATCTGTCACTGGCTGTGTACCTCGGACAGATCTGTATACTGGCCCTTTGCCAGTACCATGTGACCTGCTGTGACCAATCACAGCAGGTCACATGACTATTGTAAACAATGGATGGCTTCCTTTCATGCCATCCATTGTATACAATTGTGTTATTAGCTGTGATTGGTCACAGTGATCACATGCACAGACTGGGCCAATCATAGCCCATCTGTGTCCTGTGATTAGCTGTGGCCAATCACAGCTAATCAAATAATCCTGAATGAATCAATTTCATTCAGTTGAATGCTTGCTTATAGCAAATAAAATTCTTTGCTATAAGCAATAATATTGGGTAAACAAAAAATAATGATCACTTCCCCAAAGTAGTACAATGTTACTATGGTAACATTAGACTGCTTTGGTCATAGTGTAATATGAAAAGAAAATCGTAAAAAAAGGTAATAAAATTCCTGTACTGTCACCAGTCAGAGATCCTGATCACGGCCACACCAGTTATATGATGATGCTGTACTACACTGGTGACTGTATGTAGAAAAAAAAAATTAAAAAAATTGTGAATTTGTTTTTTAATTTCTTCATTTTCCAAAAAAATTATGACAATCAAAATTACAGCTTTAGAAAACTCGCCATGCCCCTTTATTAAATACCTCAGACTGTTTACTTTGCAAAAAAGTGTCATTTGGGGAATATCTGTACTGTTCTGACATTTCTGGGCCTCAAGAAATTTAGATTGGCCGTCAGTACTTCAGGATTGATCAATTTTCATATATATGCCATAGTTTGTGAACTCTATAACTTTCCTGCAGACTAAAAAATACTAATTTGGTTTATTTTCACCAAAGAAAAGTAGCAGAATATACCTTGGCCTAAATTTATGAAGAACAAATATTTATTTGCAAACTTTTATAACACAAACCATGAAAAACGTGTTTTGTTTTTTCAAACTTTGGTCTTTTTTTTTTTTTTTTTTTTTGTTAATTTAGCAAAAAATAAAACCCCCAAAGAAACCAAAAGATTAGCTCTAGTTGTGTGAACAAAATGATAAAAATGTAGTTTGGGCACAGCGTTGCATGACCGTGCAATTGTCATTCAAAGTGTGAGAGAGCTGAAAATTGGCCAGGGCAGGAAGAGGGTAAAAGTGCCCGGTATTGAAGTGGTTAATGCATTCCCTGCATTAAGGTAAAAAAACATTTTAGGATTTGCTGTGGTCCCTCCCCCTCTAAACACTTACCTGAGCCCTGTATCGGCCCAGCACTGTACCTAGCTGCAGTCTTCTCTCTCCCTCTTCACACGGACTGATAGGCAGCAGTGGGAGCTAAAGCATGCTAATAAGAGGATAGAGTCAAATGGCAGAGAGATGAGCTTATCATTCTGCTGCTTCTTATTTCACTGTCCAGTAACAGGCAAGGGGGACAAGATCTGAAAATGTTAATAAATTGCATTAGAGAAAAATATGGTCTCCAGCCACGCCAGACAGGACTGTGCTGTGTGGCAGAGCTGTGTAAATCTCAGGACTGTATGGACAGAAATAAAATTATTTTGGCAGATTAAACCGCTTTTATTTATGTATTCCATCTGTGTATTTAGCTGTTTTGCCTGGAAGTCAGCTTGAACAGTGTTTGTGGGTTGATGAACCAGGTAAATTGAAGATAATTTTCTTCTGTTGTGTGCAGGTTGCTGTATTTAAAGAAATGGAGCGCAAAGAGGTGGACTCCATGCGTTCTATACGGGCAGCCAACCTGGCGAAGATGACCATGGTGGATCGCATTGAAGAGGTGCGGTTTTGTGTTTGCCGCAAAGCTGCCAGTGGCTTCATGCTACAATGTGAACTGTGCAAGGACTGGTTTCACGGCACATGTGTTCCTCTGCCCAAGACCAGCTCCCAAAAAAAGGGCACCAACTGGCAATCGAAAGACGTTAAGTTTCTCTGTACACAGTGTATGAGGTCCCGGCGGCCACGATTGGAGACCATTCTCTCGCTGCTGGTATCATTGCAGAAGCTTCCAGTACGGCTGCCAGAGGGGGAGGCATTGCAGTGCCTGACAGAGCGAGCAATGAGCTGGCAGGACCGAGCACGGCAAGCGCTGGCTACTGAGGAACTGTCATGTGCACTGGCCAAGCTGTCTGTGCTGAGCCAGCGCATGGTAGAACAGGCAGCAAGGGAAAAGACAGAGAAAATTATCAGCGCAGAGCTCCAGAAAGCTGCAGCAAACCCTGACCTACAGGTGAGTGCCTGAGGACATGATAGCACTGATATTGCTATTCACAACAGCTAGTATCCTTTAACAGAGGTTATATTCATTGATCTTATTGTTTCTTCCCTCCCCCCCCCCCCCCCCCACTTGCATAGTTCAACCATTATGTATCACTGGTGATTTGTATTTAAGGTACAGTCATATCTTGATCCCAGGCTTGTGGCCTCCACATGCAACCTAACAAGTCTCCTTGGAGGAGATTTACTAAAGCTGGTTCACTCAGAATCCTGTTCACCTATGCTTGTTAGTCGATCAGCCTGTAACCTCAGCTTGTTCTATTAAGTTTTAGCAATAAAACCTGGAATCTGATTGGCTTCTATGCAGAAGTGAAGCTGATTTTGCACTCTCCAGCTTTAGCTCATAAACCACACTGTCTCAGCCATGCCTATGCATTATGACCCCATAGGCTCCCATGGCCAGAGATGAAAGGTGCCTGTCCCATAGAAGTCAGTGCGGCTGTACTGGACAGGTTGTCCTGAGCAGTGAGTGCATATGTATCTGTGGAGAGGAAAGGCATTAAAAGGATATGTGCCCCTATTTCTTAGAGCATATGCCAAAAAAAAAAGAAACATGTTTAGTACATCTCTGGAATACATGCACATTTCCCTATGTTATACCCCTTTAAACATGCTGCAGGTACAGAAAATGTATTGTTGAAGTGCCAGAAGTATGCTCTGCTCCTACCTTTTTTGACACGACAGCACAGCTCTAAATTCTTAAGCATATGTTTTCAGCACTGCCTACTTCATTTCTCTTTGTTCAGTCAGAGAGCACAGGAAGATATAGAAAGTTCGACACTCTGACCCCACATCCAGCTCACACTCCATTCCATCAGTACTCTGCAACAGTCCTTTCTGCAAACTGAATCCATACCAAGAGTGTAAACAATCCAGCACACAAGATAACCCCGACATAAACTTTATTGAAGTTTAAAGTTACGCATTAAACGGATTTAGCTTGCGTATTTCAGCCCAAATGGGTCTTTCTTACAAGTCATTATTAAGGATATGACTAAGGCGTTTTCTGTCTGAAACACAAAAACCATATCTGTTGTATGTGTAACTTGACCCTTCAGAAAAGGTATATCTCAGAAGATTAAGCTAGATATACACTAGTAAACTGTCATTCTCAAATTATCAGATCTGAATCATACAGTACAGGGCCCAGGCTTGATATTCATAGACCCTAGATTATAGGCTGGTACTTTCCCAGTCGGATGGCGAGGTGTTACATCATGCTAAGTGTTAAATCACGCTGCAGATTTCACAGTTTACCGCCATTTTCACCTGAGCTTTTTGTAAGGCGCCTCCTCCTGCCCTTTCACCTCAAGGACTTTGCTGCAGGACAGTTGACACCGGAGTTGCTGCATACTCTTATACGGACATGATTATCCAATTTCTGTAGATTACTCCATGAATACTTCACAGGGGAATACCTAATGACAGCAATAGCATAAGCAAGGTGCAAGGGAACCACAGCAAAAGCTCAGGTAAACATTTTCGCTCTGCCAAAGTTCTGCCAAACACTCAAAACATTCATAGTGGCTATGCTTCCCTTTCACCAAAGCAGGGCCCTAGTTCAACACCAGTTTCTGCATCAGTTCTAGCTGTATTTCAGGCTTGCAACAAGTGGCCTACCTGACTAAGGCAGACCTTTCTGCAACTACAGTGGCAAGAAAAAGTATGTTAACCCCTTGAAATTAACTGATTTTCTGTAGTAATTTGCCATAAAATGTGATCTGATCCTCATTGAAGTTACAACAGTAGACAAACACAATATACTTAAGCTGTTAACACACAAGCAATTCTAATTTTTCGTGTCTTTATTTAAACATACATTAAACATTCATAGTGCTGAAGGAAAAAGTAGGTGAACCCATAGACTAATTCAACAAAAGCTATTTGGAGTCAGTAGTTTGCACACCTGGAGTCCAATTAATATAATGAGTTTGGAGGTGTGGTTTAGAGCTACTTTGATTGAAAAAAGAACCTCAAACAATTTAAGGTTGATGTTCATAACCGCTGATGTGAGCCACGCCTCGCAAAAAGGAGCACTCTGAAGACCTACGATCAAAATAGATGATCTGCATAAGGCTGGAAAAGGATACAAAATCTCAAAATGTTTAGGCATTCCTCAGTCGACAGACAAATTGTCTATCAATGGAGACAGTTTAGCACTGTGGCTACTCATGGGCACCCAGCCAAGCCAAGACTCCCAAGGCACAACGAAGAATCCTCAATGAGGTAAAGAAGAGCCCACGAGTAACAGCTAAACTGACAAACAACCCTGTTCATAAGCCAACCATACATATGTCTTTGAACAGACAAGGGTGTCCATGTCAGAACACCACAGAGGAAGCCTCTGCTCTCCAAATAAAAACATTTCTGAGCACCTGAAGTTTGCCAAAGAGCACCTTGGCAAACCTCCGCGATACTGGGAAAATGTTTTGTGGACTGATGAAACAAAAGTTGAATTGTTCAAGAATACTCAGCACTATGTATGGTACAAAAAGGGCACAGCTTACCAACATCATCCCAATGCTGAAACATGGTGTAGGGAACATCATGATTTTGCTTTGCTTTGCTGCCTCATGGCCTGGACCACTTGCCATCATCGAGGGAAAAATGAATTCCCAAGCTTACCAACATATCCTACAGGATAATGTCAAGGTTGCTGGCCACCAACTGAAGCTTAATAGAAGTTGGGTGATGCAGTAGGACAATGTCCCTAAGCATAAAGTAAATCCACCACAGACTGGCTTTCAGTAAAAAAAATGCACCTTTTGGAGTGGTCCAGTCAGAGCCCAGACCTTAACCCCATTAAGATGTTGTGGAATGACCTCGAGAGCTGCTGCCGAAAGCATTTGAAGACATTGCTGCCAAAGGAGGATCGACCAGATATTAACGTCAAGGGTTCACTTACTTACTTTACTTTAAATTAGAATTGTTTGTTATCAGCTTAAAGTGGAACTTCACTCTGCCAATCAACATTGGCTTTTTTTTTTTTTTTACATTTCTTCAGTTACTTCCTGGTTTCCATGCTTAGGCAACTAATGTCATACATTCCAGGAGTCTTCAGGAAGGGAGGAGGGGAATTCTCAAGCACACCCTCTTGTCTGCATGCCTAAACTAAGGGCAAATGGATTCCAGGAAGTAAATACTTCATGAATCATCTGCCCTTACTCAAGAAGGCCACATCCAGAAATGCCAGGGTGGAGTTTTTCAAAGTTATTTACCACCTGAATAAAGCATGGAGATATGGATGGGGGAGTTTTCTTTAAATATTACAAATTAATTAAATAGGGTTTTTGATTTGTAGAGCTCAGATGCAGTGTAGTTCTGCTTTAAGCACACTGACTTAGATGAGTATCAGATTACATTTTATGGCAAATTACTGCAGAAAACTTGTTTCTTTGACAACTAACAACTTTAATAGAGCCATCACTGTCCAGGGCTCAAAAGCACCAGGCTCCTTTAAGGGATGCAGGCATTGAGGAAAATGAAGAGTACCTGGAGGCAGTGATAGAGGAGATCAGGAAATATTTCTCACCCCCACATTCTTATATGCCAGATGTTACAGCTTCATGCAATTTGCTTGCCAGTGTTATGCTCATTTTCTACTGTGCACAAAAGTCTCTGCATTGTCACACTTGACACCTTCTCTCCATGCCTCTCTGGGTCTTAAGAGACCTACTAAAACACATTCTCCATTCACAAACAAAAAGAATAGGCACTATAAGGATTGAGTCAGTTCAAAAAAAGATTTTCACCTCTCCGAGAATCATTCCTGAGCTCTATCCAGTGGAAAAAGCATTCACAAAAATAGTGGATTTTTTAGTAGACTCTGTTATCTCAGTCTTAACTTTACTGTACCCATTGAAGATGTTCCTTCATTCACAGATTCTTCTGAAAGAAAGTTTGAGATACTCTTAAAGGTTTTCTTTACTCTTGCAGAACAAGCTCTGGAGCCAGCTATTGCTGCAATTTCTGTTTGTCAGACTGCAGCTAGCTGGCTTGAATGGCTCCTATTTCTGTCTATGCGTAGAATCTTATGTCTAAAATCCTGGACAGTCGAAGCTGGCTGTAGAGGACACCTCACATGTATGCCCTTCAAAGGAGGACATTTCTTTGGTGAAGCACTAGATATATTCACCAAAGGTGTCACAGGAGGAGAGCTCCTTCCACAGAGGAAGGTTCCAAAAGCCCTCACTTCGGCTGCTTTTATCTCCTCAAAACAAAGAGCACCTCAAAACTCTACACATACTCCAAACTCTAAGCCAAAATTCAGCCCTTCCTTATGGTGCAAGACTTGGAACACAATATTCACCAAGACTACCGCAAAGCCCTCTTCCCAGTGAAGAGGAGCTTTCACTCCTAAGAGTGGGAGACATCTGTTACACTTTGCTTGTCTCTGGTCACAGACGTCGTACACACTTATATCTCACGAACCAACCAAAATTTTCTCAGATTTGCAGAATGCCCTGAACTATCTCTAGTTGTAGAGAGTGTTTACTCCACTACTTTTGGAGGATGGGTTACAAGGATTCAATTCAAATCTGTTCAAGGTACCAGAACCCAACTGGCGTATCCGTCCTATCCCAGATGTAAAATCCCTAAATGTATATCTTCAAGTTCCAAAATTTTGTATGGAATCTGTATGGTCAGTTATCACCTTTCTAAAACCAGGGGAATACCTAGCATCTGTAGCCATCCAAGGTGTCTGTCTGCATATTCTCATTTATTCACTCCATTAGCTCTTCCTACACTTTTCAGTAGAGGACAATCACTTTGTTTATCTCAATGCCGTTTGGACTATCCTTTGCTCCCACAGTATTTACAAGGGTATTTGCAGCTCTTTTTTGCCCTTTTTAAGAACTCGGAGCGTTCAAGTGACAGGTTGTCTAGACAACCACCTCTGGAAGAACTCCTTTCCCTTCCAGCTATCTGCAAATGCCCACAGGACCATTTATACACTTCAGGTTC